GGCCCAAGGCCAAAGTCTTAAAAGATACCTTGGACATCAGACTGAAGCCAAGGAGTGTGAACTCAGTCCTGGAGATCAGGGCACTATTAAAACATTTTTAGTAAGAGGCATTATGTATTAAAGGATAATTTGATAGTGGCAGGAGGAGAAACTAAATATAAGGAGAAAGGCAAAGCAATCACTTCAGAGACTCATCTCCACATTGATTTTTCCAGCTCTTAACTCTTCCTCATTCGGTAAACATTTTAAAAACATGGGAGGGGCTGCTGGGCAGCTCCAGTTTGAGACATTATCACTTCCATTTCTCAAGTTTTAAAAACTAATTTCCCCTCCCCGTTTCTGACATTAGCATAGGAATTATTTACAAGTAAAAACCTTGACTTACTCCACATCCAAACAAAACCAGGCACCAAGTCCCGCTGACGTTTCTCAGCTATGTGAAACAATGCTCAAAAAAGCCCTCAGTGACTCCCATTGTTGGTAGAAGGAAAATCAAACAATTGGGTTGTTGGAAAAGTCATGAAGTATTTTTTCTATGCTTTTCGTCGCAAAAATGTGTCATGACTTTTCTGACAACCCAGTACTTCCTGTAGTTTTCAAGGTTTTTCACCAACTGCCTCTGCCTCTTCCTAAATTTCTCCCTTACTGGACATACTCCTGTAGGCTAAACCCCAGACAAGCCAAGTGACTTATTTTGGGCTCAAAGCCCCCAAATGCTTGCATCCTGCTGTCATTATTCCTGTCTTATTCATCTTCATATCTCTAGCACTCAAAAGAGCACATACTTGTAGTTGACTAAATTCCTTACATTTGCATAGTGCTTTAAAGTTTTCAAAGCATTCTGAATACATTATCTCCCTCTTCCTCAAACAACCCTGTGATGAGCCATGGTAGGTAATCTTGTATTACTTTATAGGAGATTTAGAGACATTGAAATGACTTGGCAAGATCAAAGCTGTTCAAGTGAGAATCAGAAAAACTCTGGTCTTCCAGCTTCTAAGTCTCACTCCCTTTTGGTATGTTGAATACATGGTACCCAGGAACAGGGAGAGAAATACACTTAGGAATAACATAAAAATCTACTGGATGTTAGGCATGAAAAGTCAAAGTCACAAACCATCAATTAAATTGTAGTTTTAAATTGAATAATCAACAGAGTAGAAGAGCTTACCAATAAATTTTATGCTATCAATGTGCACAGAAATTGGCAAACTTGTTAAACCACAGCAACAGCTCCTTTCCTATTGACCTTTTGAGAGCACAGCTGAGAACCAAGAATCGAAAAAAACAAACAAAACTTGTGTATCTCAAATGTGGCTATTGTTCAATGCACCTTATTCAAAGCTCCTGATCTCAAAGCCTATTTGCTTAATTTAGATCCATTTCTAAAAACCTTGGTTATGACAAAAATAGTGTAGGCCAGATGTTCTGTTTATTGCTGTATTCCTAATCCTGTAATACTGCACGGCAAGCAGTAAGCGCTCAATAAACATTTGCACTGGGCTGTGTTGTACAGCTGAAACTAATTCTAAAAAATGTGTATTTCATAATAAAAAAACAAAAAAACCCCAAAACATTTGCACTGGGCATTGTTTGGAGTGCAGGCATATTAGTGCTATCCCTATGCTAAAATGGTTTGGATGTCGACTGTATGCTGCTTTAGCTGCCGCACACACATTCTGTACTGCTGGACCCAGCTACCACTTAGCCCTCCCAATTCCAAGGAATAGTAATATAAAAGAACCACAGTAAACTGACCGGGAGTGGATCCAAAGCTTGCTCTACTCGCTACTTCAATGGTCATTTTGCAGCAGGTGGCTCACAAAACAGCGACAGCTACATTGGAACTTGTCCTTGGATTGAAAAATCCGAGATAGAATACCCTCCTTGGGCTTGTTTGCGATGGTGTTTTATGACTGAGTTCCGTCTCGTCCCTTTAAGCTGGAGGATAGGAAAGCAGTTAAGGCATCACATGATGGTCAAATTCATATATCTGGTGGGACTTTGACACATAGATATCTGGGATTTTGTGAAGCCAATATTGAAGTATGTAGTGTTAAGACCCACACTATATTCTAGATATTAAATATTAATACATAGGCTAAAAAGTAGCAGTTTAAAGGAAAGACTTTTAGAATTACTGTGTGCCTGGAACCCTAGCCTGTTTCTTTATCTGTAAAATAGTGGTGGCACCACTATTTTACAGCAGTAGTATTGTAAGGAGAGGAGTTAAATTAAATGTAGACCTGGTATATGTTACACTTAATGGAGACATCCTCATTCAGCACCTTAACAGACTGGGTGATAAGAAATTCCTGGTTGGGCATCTTTTATTAACTTCAAAGACCTTTTAGATTTGTTCTAGTACTAAACTTACAGAATGCTGTGAGAGAGGAGAATGAAGAGGCCAAATAGGTTTTGATATTAAGGCTATTCAGTGTACAGATATGGAGGGCTCACAGAAAATTTGTCTTAATGGGTAGAGAATGCAATGCCAACACTGAGATCTGCTGTAATCTAGTTAAAATAATGGCAAGAAAATCTGGAAGATACTATGAAAACAACTTAATTTGAAATGGTTAAACTACATTTTATTTGCAGGTTATATTCCAAAGTCAAGACTAAGGCAAAAACTGCATATAGTTAAAATCGCTCTTAAACGCCTTGAAAGTGTGCCATGAAGACCACATATGATTTCTCTGTCAATAAATTCAACACAACAGCTAGCTTTTTTCTCCAGCATCCCACCAGATTAAGTAGTTGGCTTGAGGTCATATTGTTTGGATGGTATGTACCTTTGAATACTAAGAGAAATATGTTCAATGCCTTCAATAAAACCATGGAGGAACCCACTGACTGAATTAACTGCAAATCCACACTTCCCATCTCACGGTTGTTCTAGGGCATAAATTCTCTGAGTGCAACAAGTGGAGCTGCCTATATTATTTAAATAAATGAGAGATTATTTATTTATGGCTAAATGTATGTAGTTAAATTATAAATGGGAATGACTGGCTCGCACTGTGCTTTCATTTTAGAAATATCCAACTGTATATGGTCTATCTTTTAGACCATGATACATAGTAAGAAATTCATTTTAAATTGTAATCCACTATATATACACATATATTTATACATATGAAAAAAATTCACAAAATACTTTATTACAAACTATATATTTGATTATTCCATTCTGTTATATTTATATCTTTAACTAGGTCACAACTCATTAATAGTTTTCTTGATCCCTAACTGGGTTACAACCTACAGTATGAATAACATTGAACTGGAATATTGCAAGCTCTTAAAGTACTCAGAGAATTATGTAGGGCTGTATCTCAGGGTTAAGGAAAACAATCGAGCAAGCACATTTGTCCATAATATTTTAATACTTTTCCACTTTTAAATACTGATTTTAATTTTGTGATTGTAACATGGAAGATCCAACTTTATTATTTTTTAAAAACATCATTAGGATCATAAAGCTATTATAGAATAGTTACACTCTATACACTCCCAAGGTACTTTAAAATGATTATGTTTTGAGTTTGTAGATGAACAATGACAATAATCCAAATACATCATCTGAACGTGGACTAAATACTGGTGAAAAGTGTTTAATTGGACAAACAACTGATAAGCTTAAAGATAACCAGCACAATTTCACAAGAGAACCAGCTCAGCCCAACTAAAAATTTCTCAATAGCAATTGACACTGATGTTGTATAGGTGTAGAAATTAGTGGACAGAACTGAACAAATGGGAAACCCATTTCTCCTTTTCCTTATTCTGTATTTTTACACCTCCCTCCCAGACATCCCCCTCCTTGGTCTGGCTGCTTCGGTGGCGATCCCAAACCAAGAGCTGCTATGATCACCCTCCACCTCAAAATCAGGAGCCCTGAATTCTAACTGAAACACTGTGCTCTCTTGAACTGTACAGTGGGCATTCAGGGAATAAAGCCCCTCATCACCAATATTTTTCAAGTTTCTATCACAGTACAAAAAGAGTAACTGAGTAGAAAAGAGAGTAAAAAGATAATTTTTTTTTTGGCTTGGGAAAGAGAAGTAGGAAATAACTGTGGATGAAAGCATCATGTATATTTAGTATGTAGGAATTAGCCATACAGAAATAATTCTAGAGGGTCTGAATATTGTCTAAAGGGCTAGTACCTCTCCAAATTTTGAACTCCTTTAAATTCTGTTCATATTCCCCTACTCATTTCTAAATCTGGTTGGACAGGATTAACTCTAGTGAAGTACTAGTGCAGTTATCTAAAGGTAAAATGTATCCTTTTTTCTTTTTTTTAATACAAATATTTTAGTGTAATCATTTTATTTACAGAATTGCAAAAGTATATCATTAACATTTAGTGCAAATGCAACTAATGATAATTAGATTTAGATACTGCTTTGTAAACTTTCCATACCTTTGTAAAATAAAGCTATCCAATTTAGTTAAGAAAGAGTTACTTGTCTGTGTTCATGATAGTTACCAGAAATGGCAAACAGAGAAACATTTAGAGTGGGCATATAGAATTTTTTTTTTAGATTCCCATTAGCGGCTGTGGTGAATAAACCTCCCCTCCCCAACCTTCCCATACTTCCACATCCCAGCCCACAGATGATTGTAAAATAAAAGACACATTTGAGGTATAAACTTTTTTTAAACATCACAATATATAATGTTAACTGGTGATGTAGTAAACTGATATAATAATTTGTCTTATTTGCCTTATTAGCATTACCACCATAGGCACTTTTCCACATACTCAAATTATGAACAGCATTTTTCTGTAATAAGGCATATTCCATGCACATCATTTAGAGAAAGGTAAATTAAAAAATAGAAAAGATTTATGGAGCATGAAATCTGCGTGCATGTAACGTAAGCATATGTTTTATATGTATTTTTTCTCTCTGTACAGAATAATAAATACTACTATATCTGATGCAAGTAATTCACTTCCAGGATTGTGCATATTAAGTGATCAGACTAATCCCATCATTAAATTATCACCTTGCATTTATCATTAAGACTCCATTACCATGTATGAAATATATACAGGACATGCTCCACGTGACATGACTTTCTGCTTTACAAAATGGGTCTGATTTCTGTGTTTCTGCAGAGATGAACTAGTCAGCAAAGCATCTACTAAATGCCTCTGATTTATGTAAGCACATTTGTGTAAAAACACAATGAAGATTTTGAAGTGGGCAGTCATTTCTACTTCAGTGAGTACAATTCCTTGCCTCAACTCCAATGCTTCAAGGTTTTTCAGAGGCCTAAAACTAGTAAAACTAAAAAAGGTATTTTACATTTAAGTTCTTACAGGAACTAAGGGAAGAATTTCAGTTTGACTCATATGGAATCCTTTACTGCTCTGCTGAAGTTTATGATCAAGAGGCAAACAGGGGCACTGCTCACATTTTCTATGCATATCTTGCAACATATCTTTTTAAACTGACCCAAATTAGAAGAACAAACAAACATGCCTGTTACTGAATACTAAAAATATCGAATCAAATGTCAAACTCAGTCTGATCTGCTTAACACTACCAAATTTCCTCTTACAAATTTCATGAAAACGTGAGCTCACTTTATCCTGACCATTTTACCAGAAAGTAGTTTGTACCCATAAGATCTGTACAGATGTTTCTGTTTGGAGGCAGGCAGAATCAATTTTGGAATTGCCAAATTGTGTTTCTAACAAACTGAAAAAAAAAAAAAAGCTGTAGCACACAGAACACAACTAAAAATACAAGAATTATAAAGGTATCTGAAGAAGGAATAAAGCTTTTCACTCTTTCTCCATCAGAACCAAGGTTCTTCATGGGAGTAAGACTCTAGAAAAGGCAAAATCACAGGTTATTGACAGCCCTCAGTTATTAAGAGACACTTTACATGATAACATGAATCATTATAGAAATCAGCAGCAATGAATTCTATGATTATACAAAGCAAAAAGTCAAAAAAGTCAAAAAATTCTGGACACAGATTTGACTATAGGCCTGAAAAAAGAACCCCATCCAGATATCTGGTGCACAAAAAGCACATGCCCCATGTGCGTTCAACTTTTGTGCTTTTCTTTTGTGCACAAAACCTGATACAACTGAGGATCTTAGGCCGGACCATACTAAATTAAAAATTCTGAAAAAGTTTTCAAAAATTAAAGCATCAATTCCTAGTTGTGATTCAAAGTTGTTTTTTTCTCTTCTAGGAGCAAGCAAATAAAAATATAGCCATGTACATGTAATTTTACATGTATTTATAGATATATGCTGAGCGCGGAGATCTAGCAGGAGACAGCTAGTGTTAGATGTTCAGCTTTGCTATTGCAAGATTTCTTCATTTTTGTACACAAGGTCAAGGTGTTGGGCCATAGACAAGGCTATAGATCCTATGTTCCAGCTTAGAGCATCCAATTTTTTTTTTTTTTTTTTTTTAGTTTTTCCTCCAACATGGAATGTCACACAGCCTTGCTTCAGTCACTGTAGGAAAGAAAATGACAAGTAGTTCAGCAATATAGTATTACTAAGAGCTGCAACAATACCAAAAGAGTTCCTTCTACCCTCTGAAGTCATGGAATGCACAAAATCTCTATTAAAATTTATCTTTTAAGGATTTTCACCTTTAAGCATATAAAATTATTAACTTTACATATTTGAAACTAATTCCGTCAGCAAGGGATAAAGGTGTAAGAAGTCTTTTGAAAGTTAGAAAAAATTTAAAAGGATAATGTGCTACAGGTACACAAAGAGGGGATCAACCAGAGGTCTCTGGATTTGTACCCCATAACCTGGCATTTCCTTCTTCTTAGTCTTCAATAAAAATTATGCTATACAATACCATTTATCAAGAATTTAAAAAACTTCCTTAGTCTATGGAAAAAAGCTCTGCCTTATCTTAAGAAACAAAAATGGCTCAGACCTTGTCAAATGTGTTTAAGAGTTTTGACTAGGAGTTTTAAATATCTTTGGACCTCATTAACTTTATGGAATTTTTCTAAAGATGAGACTGACAACTGAAAGTTACTATTTCTCCATCACCAAAATTAAGAATGTTAGCTTTCCTCCTTTTTCAATGCTAGAATCCACTTCATGTATACATCATCTTCCGAAAGTATTATGAAACAAATACTACGTTAGGTAAACAAAGGTTTTTAACACGTTAAGGTTTGAATCTGGTTCTTTGTTAGAAAGAAGCTCAACCTCTGGACTCAAGGCCCGAGCTGAGTTTTGGCCAGTGAGTCTTTTCATTTCTATCTTTACACACACACACACACACACACACACACACACACACACACACACACACACACACACACACACACACACCCACACACCAAAAAATGCTTCCTCCTTCCCCTGAAATAAATTGTTTTCAAAGGATCTTAACCCCTTCCATCCTAGGTACACTAAAGAAGAATGTGCACACATGTACATACATGCTCACTTGTACACAAACACACAATCAGCCAATAAAACAATGCCCAAATCTAACAGTTTAGAGGCAAATGCTAGCAATGTGTTAGTATGTATTTTCAAATGTTTAAGAAAATTCTTCTTCTTAATATAGTTCACAGCATGTTCTCTATATAACCGCATTCTGATGTTTTTCCAAGGTTATATTTTCTGTCCTACTTAGCAAGGATGGGGTAGAGGTGAAGAGAGAAAGCAGATAAAGCTGCATGTTTGATCTTGGTTAGAGCAAAAAGCAACTTTTTAGAAACCCTAAGGCTGTGGGGAGAGACACCTAGCTAAGGTGACAAGCCTGCTGCCATCGTGTGGCATCAGGTTTCTGGTTTATTTGACAAATACAGTGCAAAGACATAATCAATAAGAAGTTATGCATTCAGATCTAGCCATGTCAAGTCTAAACTACAAGATAGTCTAGAAATGGCGCATTTATGCAGTGCACTTATGCCTGAAGGGAGAGAATTCCTCAAAGGTCAGGCTTTATCCCAAAACATTAACCATTCAGATCAGTAAGATTAACATTTTCTTACAAAACAGTAAGTTTAACATTTTCAGGTCACCTTTTTCCTGGGAAGAGCTAAATATCTGGGACATCAATCCAATAACCTTTGTGTTAGCATGTGACAATAAATTTAACATTTGAGGTTTTTTTTTTAAAAGAAAAACATACTATAAGCAGCATCATAAACTACACATAACTAAAAACATCAGTCATTATATGGTTATTGACTATATTATTTTTATCTAAAGAAACTGACTCAAGAATACAAATTTCTCAGTGAATGATTTAACATTCAGTGTGGGTGAGAATGAGAGGATGTTCATATGTATACTTACTGCTTGTGAATTATACTTTGGTAGTATCTATTAAAAATTTAAATGTTAACACACACTGAGAGTTCGTAGAAACAGAATTATACAAATGTTATCAAATGGACCGAAATGCTCAAACTCATTCATAGTAAGAGAAATGCAATTGAAACTACATTGGAAGAGTATTTTTCACCTATCAAGTTGGAAAAAAATTAGAAAGTTTTGTCTCACACATTGTGTGAGGGGGCACATGTAAACAGGTGCTCCAACACACGACTGCTGGTGAAACTGTAAGTAAATACAAAAGCAAAGTGTGTATAGTTTGCTACTTTTTCTTCAGCAACAAAAAAATGTATGTATGGGAGGAATACACTTGTATTTCCTTATTAAGACATAAAAAAAATACCCAAAAAAAACCCTCTCTGGGCCAGCCAAGTAGCGCGTTGGTTAAGAGCTGGCTTGGGACGCCAGAGGGCCCCGGTTCGGATCCCACATATGTAGGCTGCAGCCCCTGCTGCAGTGGGTTGCCATGGGCTACCGTGTATAGCCAGCAGCCAGTGTAAGTGGCCAGCAGCCGCTGTGAGTGGCCATCCAGAAGCCGGTGACTGATCTGCCTCTCTGGGGAAGAGCGCAATGATGTTGCCAACTTGGGCCAGCAAGGTGACGTCCTCCACTGCTAGACTGAAGAGCAAAGAAGGGACAGCAACTTGTCTGTTCCCCTCCCTGCAATTCCCCAGCGCTGTTCCCATCCCCCAACTCCCCAATAAAAATCTTAAAGAAAATCTCTGGAAAAATAACACAAGAAACTGTAATAGCAGTAATACACTTGTGTGTGTGTGGATGGGAGGCAAAACCGGGTGAATAGGGAGAAGACAAATTTTACTGTATATATCTTCATACTTTTGACTTCTGAACCATGTTAATATATCACTTATTTAAAAAAAAATTAAAGATTCCAGCTTCCTTGTGCAAAAATTTTTAAGTGCAGCATTTTTTGACAATAAACATGGAACCAACCCAGACATTAACATTGGACTGGGCAATAAATTCTGCAATATTCATGTAACAGATGTTAAAAGAATTAGAGGGTTTTATGTCTCAAATCTTTATATGGAATAACAGTCAAGATATATTGTTAGGAGGAAAACAAGCTGCAAAATAATAAATACAGAATAAATATATTTTTAAAAACAAGCAAAAAGATATATAAATATAAACATATAAAAGTCTGGAAGAATCTATAACAAACTTAGCAGTAATTCCTAGGAAGGGAAAGATATAAGGAATTTACACTTCTCAAATTCTGTAATTCTGTGATGTTGAAATTTCTTTAAATAAGCAGGTATTATTTAGTATAAGTAGAAAAATAATGAAAATATAAGTTTCAAGACTATGAAAATGATAACTCCTTTATCTGGGAACATCATAAAACACAGAAATTACTTTTAATAATGAACTAAATTTTAGTATCTTCAGAATCATATTAGTCAAACAAAGTTTAAAAAAGGGTAACACATATCTTCCAGTACCTGTTAATACTAGAACAAAATAGGTTTTCCTGCAGTTTTCTCTTGGACGTAAGAAGTGAAACGTTTTAGAAACTTGGGATACTCTCGTTTTGCCACTGCCCTTAACACTGAGGCTGGTGCCCATCCTCCAGGGTTCACTGCGAGGTAAAGGAAAATTAAAACCTGTTAAGATAATAATTCTCCAAATACATGTGAAATATTCATTTTGTTCCTTTGCTTTTAAAAAATTCCTCATGTTGGAACAAACAGCAACTCTTGATTGTTAATCAAGTCTTGACCATTAATTCCTTAATGTTAACCACCATAAAAGAACAGATAGCAAATAAGAAATTATTTATTACCTTTCTAAAATGTTCTTAGTTTCCTAAATTATATGCAAATATAAGTATAGCTACACTTTAGGTTACTTAAGGCAGATTTATTCATCAAATTCTACTATAATCAAATAGTAACTTACTGAGGCATAACCGTCTCTTTAAACACACTAGCAGTTATGGCCCTGTATAACAAAGATCTGAGGATTTGATTAGATGGACTTCAGTAACTACTGCAGGTAGGAAATGGGTGTAGTAAGGAACCAAAAGCAACAGGGCTGTCCAGCAGCAGGACAGTATGAAAAATAAATATATAATTAGCAACTAATAAGGACTAGGGACCAATGATTGAGAAAATGAACAAGGCCGACAGTAAGAAAAAGAACTACTTTCCTTTCCCACTGTTGCTTACATTCCTAATTATACATATATTCTTTTAGGCAATTTAATGAAATAGTTCTTAAAACCACGGATATGTGATAGAGATCTTGATAATGAAGTTTTAAAATTTACCTATCAAGCCCCAGCTTTAGAAATTCTGATATAGTAGTTATGGGGTGAAATTCAGGTTATGTGCATTTTAAGTTTCTTAATAGTTTTGATATACACCTCTCCAAGTTAAAAATCACTAATCTAGAGGATAAAACCTTAAAAGGCATTTGTAAATGGCACTGGTCCAAATGATCAGTTATCATGTAGATCATACTAAGAACATCCACATTACCAAGTAGCAAAAACAAACAACAAAATACATACCATTAGCTACATATGTAATCTTGCATAAAATGTTGTCCCTGCTAATCTCCTGGTTTCCTTCTGGCGGGCTTACCAAGGTTTGACAAATCATGGCAATATTTATTTTGGCACGGACACATCGATTGTTTAACTGCCAAAACAAAAATAAAAAGAAAATACCAGTATAGTCAACACCCAGTATTTTGTAATCCCTACTGGTCTAATATTACATTAGGTTAACCAAAACCATAACTCATCAAAATCTCCAACAAAATACTATGAGCACCAAAAAATAATACATGCCAAGCTGATATGACGCCAGAAACTATTTTCCCTCCTCTGACATAGTAAATGGAGGTAAAACAAAGGTTTGCCAGTAGTTGATCATGGCTTGAGACGTAACTGAGAAGTAGCCTACACATGCTACCCATCAGCTGTCTCACCTCACTTCAGGAGAAAAGGAAAACAGCCTTGCTGGGATTTCACAGCCATGACTGTTGTCCCTCAGGTAACATGGGCTATATTATTCCAAGGAGACAGCATAAAACAAAATCTAAGAATCATTATTAAATCAAAGATCTACATGTGTGTGGTACATGTTTATCACTTTTGCATTATATATTTAGCTTTATATTATACAACTATACACATTTACACAGTGTACTTACAGGAGCACTGTCGTGATCTACAGAAAAATTACAAACTATCCAAGTTTCAGGGTCATTTTCAGTAAAGGCTGGTATCTTTCGAATGGCAGAAAGATATAATACATCTCGCTGAGAAGCAGGCCACACTCTCTGTGAAAGAAGTAAATATCTTTTGAAAATTAAAACTACTTTTTATTCATATATAATATAGAACTAAGACAGAAACAAAGGTAAAACCAATATCTTAGTTGAAGGTAAAATCTGTCCAATTTTAAAAGAAAAGCATCTGAGAATACCCATCAAAGGATTCATGATGAACACTGAGTTAATGGCTTTGTAAAACAATAGCAAAGAAAAAATGTTCTGCTATTTTTCTTTTTTAAAAATTGTGGACACACACACACACACACACACACACACACACGCGATTTACCATTTAAACCATTTTTAGGTGTACAATTCAGCGACATCAATTACATTCACAATGTTACATGCCAATGGAAACATCACCACTATTTATTTCCAAAATTTTTTATCACCCCAAACAGAAACTCTGCATCCATTAAGCAATAACTAACTCCTCATTATCCCCTCCCATAGATGCTGGTAATGTTCTGCTTTTAAGTATTGTATTAAAGCTCTGTTTAAATTACTCAGAGACTTTAAATAAAAGATTTTAAGGAAATAAGAGTGCTCCTTTGATATCATAATCACATTTGAGGAATTCCAAATCAGTTAGATAAATCTTTCAACTTTATGGTACTCAAGGAAAAACATATACTGTTGGAATGACATAAAACTTAGGTCTCAGAAAACTGGGACTACGTACTTTTAAATGAGAGAATATCTGCAGTCTTTCCCGATGGTTAAGTATAATAAATAGCCAACAACTCAAATACAACACAAATCACTTAGTGAAACGGTTTATGGTTTAGAGGTACAAAATTTCATGAAGCTGACGACAAGTAGTGTTGGGGAAACGTATGTGAAGCCAATAGTAAATGAAAATTTGACCATGTTAGAACTAATAAATGTAAGTCCATAAGAATGATAAGACAGAAATTTTAAGAGTGAGAGTGACTTAAATATCAGAAGATGAACCAGCCCTACTTAAGGTCATAACGTAAAGAAGCCGAATTTAAAGAGAAAGATGTTGTATAGTGTTATCAAATTTTGCTGAAAAAAGTATGCCAAGATAATTTGTTTATTCAAATAACTGTAATTGTAACTTAAATTTTGTTACATATAAAATATATTATTTTAATAATTTTTAGTTTTACTTTTCAAGAAATAATCCTAATATAACTAACCTATATAATCTTCTGCTCCACCTACTATTTACCGAGTGAAATATTGCAGCAGATTGTTCTCCATGATCAATTATCTCCAGATAATAAGATTCTTTTGAGTCTAAATTATTGATCATTTATTTTCATTTCATATTACAGGGCAATTAATTGATATTTTAATATCTGCTAAATTTTAGATTTCAGTTAGACCTCTCAAATCTGAATGCTGAAATAGAATCTTCATCGTTACACATTTCTTGAGCAGCTACCATGTAAAATGAAGCCTAGCCCATAGTCATTAGATAAAAGACAAAATGTCTCAGATGACGGGACTGAGCTCAAGAAATACAGAGCAAACTTAAATATTTTCATATATTCAGCTCAATTAAAAAAAATCATTTGAGGGCCGGCTGAGTGGCGCGATGGTTAAGAACTAGCTTGGGATACCAGGGGGCCCCGGTTCGGATCCCACATATGAGGGCCAGTGACACTGCCCTCTACAGCTAACATGCTGAACAACAGCTCAACCTGGAGCTGGGCTGCTGTGAGTCGCCGGTGGCGTAGGCTGCAGCCCCTGCTGCAGTGGGTTCCCATGGACTACCATGTGTAGCCAGCAGCCAGCGTGAGCGGCCAGCAACCGCAGTGAGCGGCCGTCCAGAAGGCGGCGACTGATCTGCCTCGCCCGGGAAGAGCGCAATGATGGTGCCAACTTGGGCCAGTGAAGCAACATCCTCCACAACTAGACTGAAGAACAAAACGACAGCAACTTGTCTGTTCCCCTTCCCCAATTCCCCAGCACTGTTCCCATCCCCCAATTCCCCAATAAAAATCTTAAAAAAAAAAGAATCATTTGAAAAAAAGAAAAATAAAGTACTTATTCAATCATTATACTTCTTATATAATATACAATATTGCTTTTTGGTGGATATCTCCAAAATTTTGATTCATTTTATTATTCTTTATTTTAAATATTATTTGGCAATTTTCAGAAGGGGAACACAGCAGAATAAGGTAAGAGAAATATTAATTCTATTAGCTTAAATATCTAGATTAGCAGAGGAAGAAATGAAGTGAAAGGGAATCAATTTAAATTAGATTCTTTGTGTACTGGTGCATGACCAACCTCCAAATAGTCATGCTCAGCAATTTTCCCTCGCTTTCAGATAATCCACTTAGATCACTTTCATATCTATTAGTCTTAACACAGGCTAAAAACATACTTTCCGCTGCTTTTATTATATTGTTCTCAGAGGAAACAATGACTCACTTCCATATCTGATAGCTATCATTTATCTTCTACAGAGACTAGATCCAAGATAATTCCTAAAATATAGATTTCAGGATTTTGTTTTCTAAGACTTAAAAGTGTGCATGACTAATTGTAGATATTTATCAAACAAACTTTCTGGATATTTCTCAGGTTCTTAGCAGCACCCATTTCTGCTTTAAATGTGCTGATATACATTTCAAATGCATAACATTCATGAATTATTAATAGAGTCTTTGGATCTTTTATAGCATTTAATTTCTTGCCAAATTGTACTTTAGAGGATTTATTTATTTATTTATTTATTTTTAAAAATGATTTTATTGGGGAATTGGGAGAGGGAACAGCGTTGGGGAATCTGGGAAGGGGAACAGACAAGTTGCTGTCCTTTTGTTCTTCAGTCTAGTTGTGGAGGACGTTGCTTCACTGGCCC